TTGTCATACCCTGTGATATATAAACTATTTTGTTTCTGCAGTAAGGTGGGGCCCTTTAAACTGATCATTTTTTGTTACCGCTGGAGCTTTGGTTTTTTCATCACAACCTCAGGACATAATTTTGTATCAACTACGGTGACCTCAATGATAACCTTCAACGCACTCTGTTTAATTTCCGTACGAGTATCCGTGGAATATATCAACGAACCGTCCTTACGTGCTTCTTCTCGTTTTGTGAGAAATAAGGTTGAAAGAATCACCAGGAATTCACATGGCAAACGGAAAATACATCGCGCTGGCTGGAAAGTTGCATCTGAGCACCGAAACCTGAGGAGCATTGGTTTTCCGGTCATTTTGTCGTCGAATNNNGTCTTCTGATGCACTACGGAGAGTACTCCAAAAGTTGTATGCTACTTTTCCAAGAATCTTGGTTACAAGAACCCGTCGAGGACGAATTGGTTCAGATCAAAGGCTTCCAATTATTTCGAGCAGATAGACCTCCAGGAAGGAAAACTAAAGGTGGAGGCGTCATCACTTATGTGCGCCGGTTGTGGTGTAACTCCACCAAATGCATATTTAGTCACTACACACAAAACATTTATTGTATTTCTGTAGAATGCAAACCACGTTTTCTCCTGCGTCACTCTTTGATCACCTTTCAAACCTATATATCACCCCTGACTGTACTCCTAGTGAGTTGTCTACCTTCCTTGATGTATTTTATCCAATCATGTTGGAGAAATCTGTCACATTTGTATTCATCGTTGCTGGCGATTTAAACAGATCTGATGTGAGTTTTTACACACTTATGTTCCTTCAGAACATTGTTACTTTTTCCACTCGAAACGATGCCTCCTTGGATCACTTTTTCGTTAATAAACCACCTTTTTTCCGTGCGTTCAAACGTGCACCAGTAGGCAATTCCGACCACTGTCTGATTAACGTTTTACCTACAATATATGGTAAATGCAAGCAACAAATCCTGATGAAGAACGATGCACGTAAGATAGGCATATGACAAATCACCTCACCGATTTGATGGAATTAAAATCCATGGTTGGTGGTACGGACTTACGACAACTCTTCGACCCCGATATTTCAGTCTTCTGTGAGAACCTTACCAATTGCCTCAACTATTGTTATGTGTGCTGCCCTCAAGAAAGGATTCACCTAAGGCCCAACCGCTTCATCTCCGATAGACTGAAATGGTTACGAAGGCTGAAAGAAAGGGTGTATCGCTCGAGAAATAAACTGACGGTGAAAACTGTCAACTTTCACATCAGAAGCGAAATAGCACATCTCAATCAATTGTATGTTGACACCGTGCTAGGAGACAAATCCTGCCGTCAGCCATGGGACGGACTGAGGTTGCTCTGTGGTCATTCAACTTTACCTGCTACAGTCTCATGCGACATCAATTTGCTCAACAAATCTTTTGCTTCAGTGAAAAACGTTGTGCAAGCTTCACCGAGTCCAAACAACGTCACTTGATTTCTACCTTCTTATGTCCGCCACAACAGCATTTAACTCCTTTAAAACTTGCTCCGTTGTGACGGACACAGGAAGGTAGAAATCAAGTGACGTTGTTTGGACTCGGTGAAG